TGTTCGCTGCATGCATGCATATGCACGTACATCCTACACATACACGTGGGTATATGTTCGCTGCATGCATGCATATGCACGTACATCCTACACATCTACACCTTACACGTGTTGGACGTTAAGAAGTTCTGAGAAAGCGGATGTGCCCACCCATGTATTTCCGTTCGCAAGTATCTGCATGAATGCATGCATGCAGGTACCTTACGTTTTTCTGTTTGCACTCACTGCATGCAAGGGACGTCGGACCGGATTTCCAGCTCTTAACATATCTCCTGCTATTTCTTTCTCTTCCCTTTTTTTTTTTTTGCATGCAAGGGACGCCGGACCTGGTTTCCAGCTCTTCATATATCTCCTATTGTGCTTTTATTCTTCTTCGAGGTACCCACATGAATTCCCGCACCCAAGTATCTGCGTGAATGCATATCTGTACGTATCTGTGTGAATGCATATCTGCATGCCAATGCCACAACACGTCCGCTCAGGTATATGCATGCAACTACTCACACCTGTAATACCAACTTTTATTCTTGACGCATTTTCACATTTAAGCAGACCTTTCTCATCATTTAGTCAATTGTCATTTCTTTTCGATCAATTCAATACCTGAAGTTCTAAGAAAAAAAAAAAAAAAAAAACGCATTACAGTGTGCGCATCTAATATACATTTCACGTGTGAACTGCATAACGTGTCAGCTTTAAAGGTAACGGGAAAAAAAAAAAGTCGCGCCTTCTCTGTATCCATTGAATCCTCCGCCCAGTAAATTGTGCACCCTCCTGCTTTCTTCACGTCCTTTCATCGTGCGCGTACTGAATGCCAGAACACGTGTAAGATGTATTCAAATTTGACTTTGACGACCCGTGTTCGTGAGCAATTGGCCGTTCCTTGTCATAATTCTTTTTTTTTTTTTTTCGGGGGGAGGGCGAAGGGGAGGGTGAGGGGTTGAAGCAAGGAATACATTATCAAGAAAACATGAGGCCGGGACTTCCTCATAAGCGTACTGGATGCCAGAACACGTGTAAAATGAATTCAAATTTGAAATTGACGACCCGTCTTCGTGAGCAATTGTCCTTTGCTTGTCATAATTTCTTTTTTTTTTGGTTGGGGGGGAAGGGGGCTTCTTTTTTCGTTTTTTTTTTTAAGGGAGTAGCT